AAATGTTTTGAGAATGATGAGGGCAATGAATGTATAAATGTGCTTTGCACAATTGATGTATGTATGGATTGGGATAAGAGTTGTAATAAATCGATAAGAAAAAGAAAAGAATACACCAAACATTTTTGTTATTAAATTTTATCAGTAAATTACCTTTTCGATGATAGAAGTTTACAGAGTAATTAATCCTCACTATCCAGCACACAGTCACTGATCCATTACTGAATGCTTTGTTCTGGAGGATGGGGGCGTGGGAGGAGTAAGTGTACATTCTACGATAGATAAGATTCTTGAACTTATTTGCAAAGAATCCGCAAGTTTGTAATTCCTTAATTTAGGCTTACTCCTTCAAAACAAGCTCACAGCCATTGAGTTGATGGTGACTCACAGAGTAGAACTCTATAGGACTGGGTAGAACTGTCCCTGTGAGCTCCTGAAACTGTACCTCTTTATGGGAGTAGAAAGCCTCGTCTTTCTCCCCAAGAAGCTGGTGGTTTCAAACCGCAGCGCTTGGGGATCGCAGCCCAGCATGTAATCACTACACCACCAGGCTTCCCACTACTTTAAATAGTCAAAATTTAGATTGATTATTTAAATGGAGAGCTTTCAAAAAGAGAGTAAGTCTGCACTTCTCAAAAAGGGACTAACTCATTTAATCTTTGCTCTGTCCTTACAAGTGCTCATGAGAACGCGTATTATCAGGATATACTAGTCTAATTTTTTAGTTTTATGTTTTCACTCATGGTCGGCTTTTATCTCCCACTACAGTAGCTCTTCCCTTTACCTTTAAATCTATTGTATTCTTCTGTTGTCTAGGAAAGCAGGTGCCAAAGCTTGATAGAACAGTGTCAAGTAAGAGTGCATAGTTTATAGGTTCTGACTTGGGAAAGTGCGCAGGTTCTTTAAAAAGCTATGTCTGACAAATGAATCAGGAGTTGTTCCCCTCACCCTTCCACACCTGTATACTAGAAGTTTCCGATGATTAAACATCTGATGTCAAGGGTCATTTTTTTAAGTCAACTAAAATAATATATATTTTAAGATCTCAAAGCTATTTGATAGGTAGTGTTGATCAGTAAAGAACCTTGGAGGAGTAACGGATTCATATTGGGTTACTAAACGCAATGTCAGCGGTTCGAAATGAATAGCTGGTCTTAATGAGAAAGACGAAGTGTTCTACTCCCAGACAGAGAGTTACAGTCTCAGAAACCAATAGGGATAGTTCTTCTGTGTTCTATAGAATCATTTTAAGTCAGAATTGACTGATGGGAGTTGAGTTTGTGTTTTGTTGGCCAATCGATCAGAGAAAAAAAA